AGCCTGGCCCATTGTAGGATTTTGATAAATGGACAGTGAGAAAAAAGCTGGCACCCCTCAGATTCATGTGGCTGCAGACTTCTGGGGATGGAGCCCAGGGTCAAGTTCTCTAACAATGAACAACACTCGTGGAGTACCCAGCCTGTATTCTAAAGGACGGACAGATACTCAGAGAGGCAGACACTCATGCCAAGCTCAGGTTTGGACCCAGGACTGCTGCCCTGACCCTCCTCCTGCATCTGAGTTCAACATTCAACACTGGACCCTCTCACCTCGCCTCGCTCCGCCCCCTCTCATTCCCTTGGACCTTCTCAGAGTCTTGCTTGGGCCTTTCTCCTCTGTTCTACTGACAACAGCAAAGGAGTCTTTTTCCATTCATCTCATCAACTTGTTAATGATTTTCAGAACCGTGGTTGCTCAGGACAGCCCCCCGGAGCAACCCTGGACTTGAAACTTGTGACACACTGCTGAGCTCCAGCCGGTTCCCGGAAAATCCTTCTCTAGGTTCATAGCTCTGTTTAAGGGGCCTGAGGCTGCCTGGGCAAGAGGTCACTAGGGCAATGACTGACCTTTGCTTAGGATCCCAGGCAGGACTTGGAACTCGGCCACCCCATCCAGCCTTTTCCAAATGTGTACCACCCCTTCCCCTAGCAAATCCTATTGCGGCTCTACTGAATAGCCTCCATGTCGTCATGGTACAGGTGCAAACTAGTGAACAGAGAAAGATTTATTACAACCTTGCAAAAAGATGCTGGCTGGTCTAATGGTAAAGAACTCAGCCTGGGGCTTCCAGTGCAAGATGGTGGCCTGGACCATGAGATGAGTACATGCTTGTACCTTTGTTTTCTCTATTATAGTTTGAATATGAGATGTTACCTAAAAAGCTTGTGTTGGGCCATGATGCTAGAATATTCAGAGATGAAACTTTTAGATTATGAGAGCTGTAACATCATCAGTGAATTAGTCTATTTGAAGAATTAATCATTTGAATACCCACTGGGTGGTAACTCTAGGCAGGTTGTGCTTGGCTGGAGGAAGTAGGTCACTTTGGGTGTGTCCTTGGGGATTATATCTCATTCCAGGCTCCTTGTGCATATTACCTCTCTCTGCTTCTCAGCTGCCATGAGCAGACAGCTCTCCTTCACTGTGATGTTCTCAACCTCAGACCCAGAGAAATGGAGCTGGCTGGCCATGGACAGATCCTCTGAAATTGTGAGCCCAAAATAAACTTTTCCTCCTCTGAGTTGTTCTTATCAAGTATTTAGGTTACAGTGACATAAAGCTCCACAGCCACCAAGAAGAAAACATGACCTAGGACACATGGCAGGGGTGGTGGGAAAGCCTTGGAAGGAGATGAAGGCCCTGCAGGTCCAGTGTCTGGACTTGGAGCCCACAGGAAAGACAACTGGACAGAGGCAAGAAGCACAACGGTTTTTCTGTACTCTAATGAAATGATAAACAAAACCTTCTATGGTAGCTTATCTGACTCCCAAGGAAAGGATCAGCTGGTGAATTAATAGGCGAGAGAGAGATTTTGGTACCAAGTAACCATTTGTACTCTACCATTTTCTCCTCCACTGTAAGAGGCAAGATTTAACCATACTCGTTAGAAGGTAAGAAGAGCAGATGATAATGAGCATGTCAGAAAATAGAAGCCTCTACTAACAGCAAACTGCAGGTAACAGACCTTTATTAGGACCTCTTTTGAAGTTAAAAAAAAAAATCAACCTACAACATTTTATTAGAATTAAAATTTAGCCTGCCATCGTTTGGTCTGGGTGGTGGCATCACTTAGGTGTGGCGACCACAGACACATTGAAGGGCTAAAAGTCAGAAGATGAAACAAGGTCCAGTCTTGGTCCTTCCACGAATGAGAAGTATGTCCTTGACAAATTATTCTACTTCCATGTGACTCAGTTTCCTCATGTTTCAAAAAGGAAATGATTGGTCTAGGATCATCCAAAGGACTGGGATGTGCCATTGGAACATGGCAGGATATGTTCTACCAAAGATGGCAGAATATCAGAGTGGAATGACCCCAGTATTAGGAGACAGGTAGGGAGAGATGGCAAGAATAGAACAGGAGGAAGGCAGCTGTAAAGGTTGGGAACCAAACAGACTGAGGAGGGGAAAGGTAAGCTTCCTAATGACAGAATCAAGATCCATAAAGAAAGTAAAAGTCAGGGACCATCAGCAAGGGCACCAAGACAATTCCATGGAAAAGATTAGCCTCTTAAACCACCAGGGTGGGAGAAGTTGATAACTACATGCAAAGGCATGGAGATGAATCCCTACTTCACACCATGAACAAACATTAACTCCAGATGGATCAGAGATCATTGGGAGAACTAGAACTATGAAATTTTTTAAAAGAAAACATAGGCAATCAATTTCTCCTGCCCTTGGATTAGGTGATGGTTTCTGAGAGATGACATAAAAGCAGAAGCAACAAAAGAAAAAAAATAGATAACTTGGATATCATCCAAATTTTACAAACTTTTGTTCTTCAAAAGATACAACTAAGAAAAGGAAGACAACCACAGGATGAAGAGTTTTTTTAATATAAATCTTGTATCTGATAAAGGACCTGCATCTAGAATATACCAATAACTCATACAACCTGATAATAAAAAGACAACCTAAGTTAATAATGGGCAAAGGCTCTAAATAGGCATTTTTCTGAAGATATACAAATGACCAATAAGCACATGAAAACATTCTCCACATCATTAACCATCAGGAAAATGGAAATCAAATCCAGGATGAGGTACCACTTCATGCCTACTCTGATATCATAATAAAAAAGACATCATAGCAAGTGTTGGTGAGAATATGGAGAAACCGGAACCCTCATACATGGCAGGTGGGAATGTGAAATGGTCCAGCTGCCTGGCAGTTGCTCAAAAAATTTAACACGGTTACTATTATGACCCAGCAACTCTACTCCTATGTAAATTTCCCCCAAGAAATGCATGTCCAAAATTAGACAATAAGAGAACAAACAACCCAATCAACAAATGGGCCAAGGACCTGAACAGACACTTCACAGAGGAGGACATACAGTCAATCAACAAGTACATGAAAAAATGCTCAACATCTCTAGCTGTCAGAGAAATGCAAATCAAAACCACCCTAAGATACCATCTCACTCCAGTAAGATTGGCAGCCATTAGGAAGTCAAACAACAACAAGTGCTGGCGAGGATGTGGGGAAAAGGGTACACTTGTACATTGCTGGTGGGACTGCAGATTGGTGCAGCCAATTTGGAAAGCAGTATGGAGATTTCTTGGAAAGCTGGGAATGGAGCCACCATTTGACCCAGCTATTCCCCTTCTTGGTCTATTCCCTAAAGACCTAAAAAGAGCATGCTACAGGGACACTGCTACATCGATGTTCATAGCAGCACAGTTCACAATAGCAAGACTGTGGAACCAACCTAGATGCCCTTCAATAGACGAATGGATAAAAAAAATGTGGCATTTATACACAATGGAGTATTACTCTGCATTAAAAAATGACAAAATCATAGAATTTACAGGGAAATGGATGGCATTAGAGCAGATTATGCTAAGTGAAGCTAGCCAATCCCTAAAAAACAAATGCCAAATGTCTTCTTTGATATAAGGAAAGTAACTAAGAACAGAGTAGGGACGAAGAACAGGAGAAGAAGATTAACATTTAACAGGGATGAGAGGTGGGAGGGAAAGGGAGAGAGAAGGTAAATTGCACGGTAATGGAAGGAGACCCTCAGGGTTATACAGTGGAGGGGGTAGAGAGAGAGGAGGGGAGGGGAGGGGAGAGGTGGGGAGGGGGGAGGGTGGATGATGGGAAAGGCAGCGGAGCACAACAGACACTAGTATGGCAATTTGTAAATCAATGGATGTGTAACTGATGTGAATCTGCAATCTGTGTATGGGGTGAAGGTGGGAGTTCATAACCCACTAGAATCAAAGTGTGGAATATGATATGTCAAGAAATTTGTAATGTTTTGAACAACCCACAATAAAAAATTAAAAAAAAAAAAAAAAAAAAAAAAAAAAAAAAAAAGAAATGCATGTCCACATAAAAACTTATACAAATATGTTCATAGCAGCATTACTCATATTAGCCCAAAATCCAAAACATTCCAAATTTCCATCAACGGATGGATGCAGTAATATACATACATTGGAAAATTATTCAGCAATAGAAAGTAAGGAAGTAATGGACTGGGGTGGGTGTAGCTCGGTGGAGCACTTGTCTAGTAGGTATAAGGCCGAGGGTTTGATCCCCAGTCCTGCAAAAAAAAAAAAAAAAAAGAGTACTAATATGTGCTCAACATGAATGACCCTAGAAAGAATTATGCAAGTGAGAGAATCCAGTCACAAAAGATCATATTATATGATTCTATATGTATAGAATATCCAGCATAGGTCAATCTATATAGAAAAGGACAGTCATGGTTTCTCTGGTGTGGGGAAGTTGGGGAGCAGTGATAGCCTAAGACCATAGGATTTCTTTGGGGGGTGATAAAATACTAAACAACTGATTGTAATTTTATGAATCACTATAAATGGGTAAACTATATGGTATGTGAATGGTATTTCAATAATTCTGTTAATTCACTCTTCTCTTTCCCCTAGAAAACGAATCAGGAACCCCTTTCACTCTATAGGAATAGCATAGCTACTGTATAGCTACAGAAGTGTCTCATTTCTCTATCACTGTGTGATATCACACAAGTGGCTTTGCCCTTCTGGGTCTCAATTTCCTGATCTGTAAAACATCATCTGCCCGGTTCTGACAATCCTTGAACCTAGCACAAAATTCTACAAAATTTCCATTACTCAATTTTTCCATTACTTCCAATATTCTACAAAATTTCCATTTCAAAAGCTGTAATAGGCTACTCTGATAGGCACAGGGTTCACCATGGTTTGGAAGATGAGCCTAAATTCTCAGAGGTGAAGCCCTGGGTCAGTATAGATCACAAGCATAGAAGAAAGACAAAGACTAAATCCTGACTCTACCATAGTTACTGATATTCAAACCTCCCGTATTTAAGATGATCCAACCATTCCAATGTTGCTTTCCTAAACATACCCCCTTACAAATGAAAAAGGACAAAAATGAAGGGGCTCTCACAGAAAATACATCATCCTTATGAAACATGAAAAAGTGAGCACTGGTCAAACAAGGTCTTCTCTCAATGGGATTTTGCCAGTGCATCCTATAGGTCCTGGTATTTTGATGATCAAGGTCTTCTGATGATATAATAGAATGATAATTTCCTAGACCTCCTTACCCATGATTGCTTAGGAAACAGAATTATACCAAAGTAGCAAAAAGAGGAATTATTGGGTTCTCATTCCTTCCCACTCCTAAAGATCTACCTGGGAAGAGTCATTCTATTCCACCGTGCCCACCTCCAGACCACAGACAGGCCTCGGCATTAGCATCTGTAGGACTGGCCGTACACATACACTGTGGGGACTATTGTACCCACACAGACATGAGCACATCTCCCTCTGGGCTTTGCTGCAACACTTAGAAACAAGAAGAAGGTGAAAGAGGCAGAAGGCAGAGAATAACCCCTCTCCCAACAATTCACCCAAGAACAGGGAAGGCAGATGCCACTGGGGTGACTGATAAAGGAAACATACACGTAGACAGAGAGAGGAGAACATACAGGTAGCAAGAGCTTTCTCTGGGGGTCAGGAGAGTGGCCATAAGGGATCCATACAGGTGGCACCAAGACCCTCAGTGAGCCTCCAACTAAGAGGCCTGGGTTTTCAGAGAAGGTGCCCCCCGCCGGCTTGCATTTTTAGAATATCAAGGTTGAGAAAAAGCCCAAGGAACCATTCAAAAGCTCGAGGCCAAGAGGAAAGGAAAGTGAGGGGCCACCGGCTCTCTGCATGCCAGGTTTTGTGTCCACTGGTTTCTGCTAGTTCGTGGTCTGTAGCTTTCATAGACTGGGCAGGGTCCCTCCTAGCCTCAGATTTTCTGGTGAGACTGGAGCTGACAGTGGTGCCATTTCAACATCGCAGGGGGTCCGTGGGGCTGGGAGCAGGTGAGTGTCCTACTTTGGCTCAGAGTCCACACTTCAGGATGATGTGGTAGCCATCATTGCTCTCGGCTGCAAGAGAGGAACACCAGGCATATTTCACAGTAAGGAAAGGGTCAGTGCTGTATTACCCGGGAGTCCCGAAGGGCAAGGGTACCAGTAGAGACCACCAAAACAAGGTCACAGAAAGCCAAGTGTCACATAAAGCAAGGATTTTAGCACATGCCTTGGCATGTATCTTGTTGAGTTTCTTTTTTTGGCAATGGGCCTTTCAAACTTAGCCCTAGATCTGAGGACAAAAGCACCTACGTCCATGGAGGCTCATGGTTCCAAAGCCCACAGGCTCTCATTGGCTGTGCTACATTCTGCACCTTAACTGTTCCCCAAAGGACCATGTGTGGGAGGCTTGGGCCTATGACACTATTGCGAGGTGGTGGGACCTAATAGTGGAGAGGAGCTACGTCAGTGGGGGGCGTGTCCTTGAAGGAGCTGATAGGGCCCTAGCCCCTCCCCCTCCTCTCTCTTTGCTTCCCACATAACATGGGTGAGGGGCTTCCTCTGCCACACACTACCACCACCGTGTGCTCCCACAGACCCAAGAGCAAAAGGATCAGCCAGCCATGGACTAGAGCATTCAAAACTGTGAGCCAAATAAACTCTTCCTTAAGTTGATATCTCAGATATTTTGACACAGGCTAGATCCACAGAACAAGTAGGGAAGTGGCGTCACCATAGATGAGGGTCCATGACCCAGCCAGAGGGCTTCTGTTCTGACATAGCCCATCCACTTACCCTCCCAGACCTAAGGAAAGCCACGGCACACCTTTCTCTGCCTTTTGTGAATAAATGCATGCTCTTGGCACACAGGCTTTCTCTCTCAGCAGGCAGTGGGCATGCTGATGTCCTCTCAGGACATCTGGCTCAGGTGGATCCTCATGCTGCCCCTCCAGATCCAGACCCATTCTGCCTACCACCACATTCTATACTTGGGTTTCCTGCAGACTTCATCATGAATAAACTGAAACACATCTTGCTTCTACTTAGCATTGACTCCATGGAGAACAACTTGCCTGACCCCCAATTTCCCCTTCAAAAGTGACTTGGAAGCCAATATCACTAGTTCTGACCTTGCAGGGTCAGAAGAAGAAGTCCGTATTGCTTCTTGTTCCCAAAGAAGTTTGTGTTGCTTCTTGCTGAAGGCCGCTGCAGGTAGCCACCCTCTGGAGGGGTGCTGTGCAACAGGCCCCACCCATCCAGCCAGCTCTCCCTTGCCCTGTGCTCCCCCCCCAGAGATGCAGACAATGGGCTTGAACTAAACAAGGTGGGAGGGGCTTTACCTTTTAATGTGCTGAGGATAAAACAAGATTCATCTTGAAAATTCTGCACCATCTGTAAGGCAAAACAGAGAATATGTTCCCTCGATGATGAGCACATACCAAAAAATGGCTGGGTGACACGGAGTCCAGCCACTCACCGATGTAGAAATGACTTCACCGCTGTGTCTACACAAACGCAGGCACATGGTGATGTTGGGACGATCACTGAGAGGGTCATGATACAGATCAACGTGAACTCTGTCATACAAGATAGGACCATTTCATAAGGGGCTGTGGGTCTGATTTCTTTGCTCTTGTTTTGCTTTCTCCGAGTTACTGGGTCTTCCGATCTCTACAACATACTCACTACAGGGAGGAGCATGTGTATAATGGCAACAGATTAAAAAACTAAACACAGCCATGCACTGCACAACCATGTTTCCATCAACAGTGGGCCACATGCATGATGCGCTGGGGTCATAAGATTATAATGGAGCCAAAACATTCCTGAGTTCCTAGGACCAAGTGGTGCCACAGCAATGTAGTGGCAAAACAATTACTCGTGTGTTTGTGGTGATGTTGGGGTCAACAACCTACTGCACTATCAGTAGAGACTATGCAATTATATACAGCACATAATACTGGATGGTGATAATAAATGATTACGTTACTGGTTTAGGTATTTACTATACAATACTTTTTGTTGTTATTATTGTACTTTTACTTATCAAAAAAACATTTGCTGTAAAACAGAATCCTAGGGCTGGGGCTGGGATTGTGGCTCAGCAGTAGAGTGCTCACTTAGCACGGGCGGGACCCGGGTTTGATTCTCAGCACCACATAAAAATAAAGGCATGTGTTGTGTCCATCTACAAAAAGATTCTCTCTCTCTCTCTCTTAAAAAAAAAAACAAACAAAAAAAAACCTGACTGCTGTTATGCCAGCAGCTGCTGCAGACAGCTTGTGTTCACTGCATTATTTTGTTGCATCAAGAGCCTGTGTACAGTGATCGACAAACATCATCTTTGCTTGTGTGGATGCTCACAACTGAGCCACCTAGGATGCTCACATCATGATGAAATCGCCTAACAAAGCGTTTCTCAGAAGGCATCCTGTTGTTTTAGTGGCCCACGACTGTAAAAATCTTTTAAAAAGAAAAGAAACTTTTGATAATGAGTAGGAGCTATGTATGAGTGGTCTAGAAGAACAAAATATAAAGGGAGATTGCCATTCCCTGGGTCTGCAGATATGGCAGGAAACTAACCAGGACTCAAGAGACATTTCTCTGGAGTTCTTATTGTGATTAGCTCCCCAGTGACCTTGGCCAAGTCTTTCTCTCTTCCTGTTCCCTATCTGTAAAGCAGGGCTGTTATGATGATTATAAATGTCAACCAGAGCCAGGCACGGTGGCCCACACCTGTAATCTCAGTGACTGAGGGAGGCTGAGGCAGGAGGACTGCAAGGCTGAGGCCAGTCTGGCAACTTAGTGAGACCCTGTCTCAAAAATGCAAATATGAAAGGGCTGGGGTAGAGATCCCAGGATTCAATCTCGTGTGAGTGTGTGTGTGTGTGCGTGTGTGCACGCGTGCAGAACAATGGCATCTGCTATGGGTAGGGGTATAAACCTTCAGAAAACCATTCATGTGACCTAGTGGAAATGACCATAGTGTCCTCCTACCAGGCATGTTCCCTAGATGAACTCCCAAGTATGTACGCAAAAACATGCATTAAGAATGTTTATACTCGAGCTGCCTCTAATAACACAAAATTAAGGCCAATCCTGACATCAGCCAATAGCAAACCAACTGGGATCTATCACATATGCTGCTCAGCAGCTCCATGACCTCCAGCAATGCCCCTCAACTTGCATGAATCTCAGGGATATAATGCAGAACGAAAAAAGAGTCACAGAAGACTACACTATTATTCCATTTATACAGTTTTAAAATTGGCAAAAAAATAATACGTTAAGGAGGAACAAGGCAGTGATTAATATAAAACTCATACTAGCAGGTGAGGGGTAGACATGAAATGAGCCACAAAGGCACTTGTAATGTAATCTTCTAGTAACCTAAGTACAGAGACAAGAGGACTTATTAAGCAGCACAATTAAGTCTCATGTACTCTCTGCATATGTGTGCCGTATCTCACAATATACATTTAAATCTTAATATACACACATATACAAACACGCACACAACGCACACACCCCAACAAGATAGCAAAGCCCCTTTCTAAATTTAAAAAAAATGCATACACATTTTATCACCTGCTCTGGATTATTGCCTCAAATCTTGCAAATCCATCCTCCTGCCGACCCCTGCCCCTCCCTGCAGGGTCTAATGGTGCGTGAAGTACATTTATTCTATACTGCCGCCTGCTCCATCTAGGACTCTTGGCAAGCCAGCCACCTGGGTATGCAAAGCCCTAAACAGAGCCCACATGGGCTTAATAAGTAACTCTCCTGTTTAATTAAGCACCCTTACACCCCGGGGCCGGGGGCCGGCGCCGCGGCTGACCAGGTCGCCTCCAGCGCTCTGGGCAATTAAGAACCAGGGGTTTCCAATTGATTCAGGGTTAAGAAGCAAGGAGACTTTGGGGAATAAGAATCACCTACTTAGCCAAGGTGGCATTTGAGTCCTGTTCTCTGCTTCACTTGCTTAACTGCCTGGTCTTAAGGGCATGGGGCGAGCCAGGGAAGAACTTCCTCGGAGACCCATGAAATTGCAAGGACTCCTCACACTCTTGCCTTCTGAAATACAGAGTGAGGCACCTTCCATGCCAGGACAACTGCCCACTGCTCGGGGCACTTCTACCTTCCTGACTATTCTCAAAAAAGCTCTCAGATCAGGAACTCTGGGCTTTGTTTTCCTTATCTATAAAATGGGTACAAAAAATAGGAACAGGACATTACTGACAACTTTGTCCAGATGATTTAAGGACATTTTCTATATTGCCTATGAACAGGGTCAATCAGAAGGTCCCCGGCTTATCTGGTGTCTCCTGGTCCTACCCTGTTTTCTCGTTCCATCCTCACAACAGCCTGGCTGGTGAGTGTGATTCTACACAGGCAGAAACTGAGGCTAAAGAGTTCACATAAATTCCCCCGAGGTCGCTCAGCGACTGGGAGGCAGTAGGGACCAGTCCAATTTCCAAGTCCACATTTTCTCTCCTTTCCCCAATCACTATTCCAGTACCTAGTTTCCTCTATAATCCTCTAAACAGGGGCTCAGAGTCCCTGGAATTGGCTTGGGTCTTCTGGGGGCTGAGCCAGGGGCTCAAGGTCCCACCCAGACTCCCACTGATGCAGCTCTTCTTTCAGGAGGCTGGAGACTGCTGGCTCACAGCTCAGACTCTGCAGCTGTTACTTGGGCTCCCACCATAGCTCCACCTGTGCCACCTGGTGCCATTTATCTCTGAGTGCTCGGTTTCCTATCTATGGAGTTCGATGATAGCACCCACTTCACAGGGAGGCTGCCAGGGTTCAATGAGCCACTACATGGGGCCCTTACAACAGTAGCCCCAGTACAGTAAGCACTTGCTAGAGTTTGGATCTTGAATGTCCCCAAAGGGTCCATGTGTTGAAAATTTGATCTGAAGCCTGTGGCTCTATTGAGAGGTGGGGCCTAATGGGAGGAAGTTAGGTTATTGGGGGAGAGGGTCCTTGAAGGGGATATTGGGACCCAGTGCCTCCTCTTTCTCTCCCTTTACTTCCTGGCTACCTTGGTATTTGCTATAGGGAAAGAAAGATGATTAACACAACACTCCACACAAGCTGCCCCTTGTGACTATTATTTAGAAGCAGCTGGGCATGGTAGTGCACGTTTACAATCCCAGCAGCTCAGGAGGCTGAGGCAAGAGGATCATAAGTTCCAGGCCAGCCTCAGCAACTTAGCAAGATTCTCTCTGACCCCACTATTTTTTTGTGCTTGAGATTGAGCCCAGGGCCTTGTGCATGCAAGGCAAGCACTCTACCAACTGAGCCATACCCCCAGCCCTGCAAGATTCTCTCTCTCAAAAAAAAATGAAAGGCTGGGGTTGTAGTCCAGTAGTAGAGCACCACTGGGCTCAATCACAAGTACCACAAAAAAAAGAATTTATTTAGAAGGCTGGAGCAGGATACAGTGAGCTTAAACCCATCAGTTAGTTCTATAATGTGCAAGGATGCCTAGACTGTCAGCAACCTGTTGAAGACTCCCCTTCTCCAGGCATCAGGGGCAACAGCTCAAAAAGGACCCTATTCCATACCTGAGCTCACCTCTGTGGCACAAGCCTCTTTGCAGGGGACAGACCCAGGGAAGCCAAGGCAGCTTTATCCCTTAGCAGAGACTTTTGCTCTCATCTCCCATAAGCCAACTCTACTCCCTCACCCAACCCCAAATCCCATTCCCCTCTCCTGGGGCTTGCTCTGGGGGCTGCCACCCACGTTGGGAGACCTGCAGAGCAAGGCTCGAGTAGGGTGCTACCAACAGCCATTAAGACCCAGACATGGACAGAGCTGTCCCCACTGCAGCTGAGAGCAGGTGGCATGCAGAGGAAACCTGCCTGCCACCCGCAATCCCTGCCATCCCTGTGGGAGACATTCATGGTATGGGGGCTCCTCCTGGAAGTCCGAAGCCCAGCCACCAGGGCTAGGTTAAGCAGCCGCCCTCACCTCGTTGCTCACCACCACGTGGATGCCGGTGGGGCCTTGCCGGTAGACGCGGTGAATGTGCTGGGGGGGGATGCTGTACAGGTTGGCGATCTTCTCAATCAGCTCCAGGGTGGTGAGCTCTTCCAGGAAGATGGCGTGGTATACTGGAGCAGGAGGAGCAAGTGCCTTCTTTTAAAATGGTTGTTAAATTAGCATGCGCCTGCCTATGACTCTCTACCCCATCCCGAGAAATCACTGACTCATTTGTAAGGATGCTCGTTCCCAGAGTGATGGGCACCTGCCAGGAAGCCATAGCTAAGAGCACAGGTGCGATCCATCAACAGGTGAACATGTGGGTCCTGGCTCCCGTTCACTGTTTCAGTCTCCTGGGGCACTTTAGGTGAAATGGAGAGTCTCCTGGACTCACTCAACACCCACTGACATTCAATTGGGGGTGATGGCTGGAGGAGCATGAGGTGTGATTCTGACCTGTGTCACTGGTGCAAACTCCAGGGACAACCTGGGGTAGATTATTCAACTTTAAGGAGCCTTGAGTTCCTCAAAAGTAAACACAATTGGATTATATGTGCGTTTCCTTCACTTTTTTCATACTTTCTCTCTTGATTTTGCAGTAGTGGGGGGTTTGAATCCAGGTGCACTCTACCATTGCGCTGTATCCCAGCCCTTTATATTTTGAGATGGGATCTCACTACACAGCTGTCCTTGCACTTGCAATCCACCTATCCTGGGCTCCCAGAGAGCCACTGCATCCAGCCCAAAGTTCTCCTTTAACTAAGGAGCACTTGTTCAGAAGACCTGATCAAAGGCTCAATGTTTCATAAAGCACACACAGAAGCGGCTCCCAGCAAGGGTGGCAGAGGCTCTAGGGTTACAGCCACACAAGAGATGGCTTTCCCCAGATTTCAAAGAGGCAAAGCCACTGTCAGATCCTCCCTAGGGAATGGGATGACTGCCTGTCGTCCCTTCCAGGACTGACCTACCGGGTAAGAACCCCACATCTCCTTCCTGAGACTCAGATTTTTAGAACCAAATTCTAATGGTACTGCATTTTTTTTTAATTTAAGAAAATTAAAGAAATTTTTTTTTCTCAATTTAACAAAAGTTCAAATTTTTTTAAACGTTTCAGAGTCAGTTCCAATTTTTCTGAATTTATTCCTAAAACAATCAGACCACCATAAGAAAGAACCAGGATTGGCAGGCTGACACCACTCATCACAACCTTCTGTCGGTGGCCTTTGCTGCCCCAGCTGGACATGGCCCCAAGGATTGCTCAGAGGCAGGACAGCGAGTGGGGCCCAGGAGGGACCGTCACAGCCTCCTCAGGAGTCACTCGGGGAGCACTCTGGGGAGACAAGAGGCTCTAGCAGGAGCAACCGTGAGTGCAAGTCCCAACTCTGCCCCTCCATGACGCCAAGCCCCGGGACCACCCGACCTCCCGAGCCCTGGGCTTAGACTTGGGCTTGGAAGCCAGGCTGCAGGGCCTGAGTATCTGGGTCCCGGCTGTGGTCCCCACAACTCACCGCAGAGGTCGCTGTTCCCACTGCCGTCCCGTTTCTGTTGCAAAGGTACCCGGTTCTGCTCCATCTCCTGACAGACATAAATGGTCATCTTTGGCCTCACATTCCTGAGAGGAGGAGGAGAAATAAATAGCACATATGACCGACCAAACTCCAGTGGTCTAGAATGTTCTAGAACATGGAGTGAAACCTGCAGCAGGAAGGACCTGGAGGAAGAAAAGATGGTGGTAAGGATACAGATTGCCTTGGAGATTTTCAGCGGAGACCTTGGAGACAGTGGTACAGCGTGAGGCCTTAGGTTTGCTATCTGGCACCAGGAAAAACAGTTCACTAAAGTTAAATAAAGTTGAAACTAAGTTTGACTGTCTCATTAGGTCAGTGCTCTAGGGCCCCACATGGCCAGCAGCTCCTGGACTGGTCAGTACCACTGTAGAACATTCTGAATGTGGGAGAAAGTTCTTTGGGAAAGTGCTGCTTTGGAGTGTTCCCTGGAAACTGTAGGTGGCAATGGTGTTGGCCCTGCCCTAGTCCATGGCCCCTCGGAGGGACATAGCTCTGAGCCAGGGCCATGCAAACATCCCAGAACCCAGGAAGTGGCCAAGGGCCGGGATCCAGAGGCTGGAGTCAAACGGAGAAGAAAGAAGGGCCACCAGGCAGGAACTGCTGCGGCCGGCCGACTGTGTGTCACTCCCCTGCCCTTCCCCCAGCACCTCCTCCTGCATTTGTCCCCACACTGTAGGAAGGTCCCTCCCGCCCCTTTTCCCACTAGCTGGACTATCTGTGCAGTCTAAAAGCCCTCGAAAAGAGGGGCTTTTCCTGCCACACCTGGCTGAGCCCCAGCCTCCAACTGGCTTCCCAACACCCACCTGCCTTTGATGGCGTTGAAGAGGCGGATCCCATCTGCAGGGCCACAGATCTGGACCAGATCATCTCTGGACATCTTCAGCAGGTCGGCACCTGGGCAGGGAAATGGGCTGCCCGTTATGTGGGTCACAGAGGGAGGGCTCCATCTCTGAGCGCCTGCAGACTCCACACTGAGGCTGGGGGGTGAAGAAGAGCTGGCCTCTCCCCTGGTGGGCACCCGACATTCCACAGAGAGAAACAGCAAAGAGCCAAACAAGATCACAGCACAGGAGATGAAGCAAAAGGCTGGTGCTCACAAAAGAGCACAGAAGGGAGGCCAACAGGTCCTGCCCGCTGAGGCCTGCCTGCCCCCTCCCTCTGTACTTTTTATGAACATTAATCTACATGCTCAGATCTTATCAGGATGTCGGCATGGATTATATGTGCATGTCTCTGTGTATTAGTATTCAGCTCACTGGAGGTTGACATTCTGAACACAGCCACAGACCAAGGGGCAGAACATTACCAGCCACCCACAGTCTTGTGACAGCCACTCCCCTACCACTGGGGAACCCCTACCCTGACTTCTTACCCAGTTTTGCTTGTTCTTTGAAGTTCATGGAAATGGAATTGAACCACAGGGTACTTTTCTAGCGCAGGCTTCCCTCACCAAGTCATGTTCAGATCTCATTTGAGTTTAACACAGAGATTTTTTTTGGTGTCCACGATGATGCAGTTTATTGCATGACTATACCATAATTCATGTATCCACTCTCTGTGGATGGGCTTTGGGGTGCTTGCAGCTTGGGGCTGCTAGGAATAGGCTCATGAAACACTTTTCTACGTGTCTTTGGTCAATGCATGTGGCGTGTCCGCTGGGTGGTGGGCGTGCAGGTCTGGCTGTGGCAGGTAATGTCCAAGTGTTGTGTTCACCCCCACATTTAAAGGCACACATGAAGACAAGTGTCTCATGGGGACAGACACTGGCAGGTTAGTAAGACAGCTAGCACGGCATGAGGGCTGTACCCTCCTCAAAGGCAAGGGTTCCCCTAGATCCCAGCGCCCAACCAGACTTTCAAAGGGACATGTAAACTAGAAGCCAAAATTCCCATCCCTTGTCTCCTGATCAGACACTCTTGGCATAATGGCTTCCTTTCCACTAGGAGTAAAAGCCAAAGTCCTCCTACTGTTCTTCCAGAGGCCTAGCCTGCCTGTACCCCTCGGACCTCAGGGCCTCCCCAAGTCCACTCTGTACCAGTCACCTAGGTCCTCTGTATGACCACGCCAGGAAGCACCCACCCTGCAGTCTTTGCACTTTCTCTGCTTGGAACCCCCCCCCCCAGTGCCCACTTGGCTCTGTCCGGCCTCTATGTCCAGCCATTGCTCAAGGACACAAGATCCCCTCTCTTTCCCCGCCCATCCCACGTGAAGGTCCATTGGTGACCAGCCCTACCCCAGCACAGATGTATCACGCTGGGCAGGTGGTTCACAGATCTGCACTGACTCAAAGCTGCCAGCCCTGAAGACAGGGTCTCTGTCTGATCTTCCTTGCACCCTCTGCCTCGAACATCAAGAAGGCTCTTAGGGACACTGAATTGAAAGATGAGCGGATGCCATTTCTCTTCCACTGCCACAGATGGCCTTGGAAGCCACTGCTCTGGCTAGGGCCAGACCTCTACTCCGTGTCACTCTGGAATGGACCGTGTTCAGTGGCAAGGCTCTCTGCTCGGTTCACCTTTGTAATCCACAGCACCTGGCTCAGGATTCCTGCCTGAGAGCCACCAGTTGGGCCTTCAAAAACCTTTTAAAGAAGGACAAACCAGCTTCCCTAATGTCACCTATATCTTCACCTGCAAATCCCAGGTCATGGCTCAAGACAGCAGAATTTTGGTAAGAAAAGTACAGAGAAGACTGACCAAGCACACAGCACCCTGCTTGGCTAAGTGGACTCCTCCTGGGCAGGCCAGAGCCCACATACCCCAGCAGATGAGGACATCTAGGTAAAAGTTACCCGAAGAGAACCCTGAAGTCACGTGTCACTAGAACCCTCCTGGAGCAGCATCGCACGTGGGGAGCATGGCATCTCCCTAGCCTCTGACCCAAGGTCACACGCGAGAGAGAAGGGACCCATGTTAGCGTGCATCTCCCAGACAGGCACAGCCCAGGCCCTGCAGGGCCCGGGACAGGTCCTGGATGGCGGCTGGCCTGGCTACATGCTTCCCAGACACCTGGGGGTCCTCAGGCTCCGGGTGGAGCTGCTCACCTGAGAAGCTGGCGAAGAGCCGGCAGAACTGGGAGAACCGATTGCGGTGCAGCCACTGCTGGGCGTCCTGGATAGTGGCCGACGGGAGCAGGTGCTACGGGAGAGGGGGACCTTCAGATGGCCGCTCAGGCCCCACAAAGGGACCCCCAGCCTGAGAGCCCCAAGTACACTTACATCAGTGCCCATGGGCAGGGCCTCCACCGGGTGGGTTGGAGAGCTGTTTCTGCAACGGAAAATGGAGAGGCCATGAGGAGGGAGGGGGTGGGGAGGGAGGGAGCGAGAGAGAGAAGAAAGAAAAGAAGAATTTTCCAGATCAGAGCAGAAAGTTAGGTTCCAACCCATCTGTCAGAACAGAGGTTCTGATGGGCTACGCTGCCCCCCAGGGATCATGGAACCTCCACCCTGAGCAGGCAGCAGCATCACCAAGGCCCCTGTGAGTGGACCTCTGTGGGTCTTATCAGAATCCCCTCTCACTTGGGGGCTTCCCCCCTAAGCCCCAGCACAAGGGCAGAGCAGGCCGACCAAGGGGACCCAGGCCCAGGTCTCCCAGTAACTAAGAACCTAAGTCATCCACTAGGTCTTCCCTGTACACCACGGGGGTGGGGGGCTGCAGGGAATCAAGCCCCCACAGCACACGCCAGGCTTTCCCAGTAGGGTGGCACATGCCCTTCTTTAATGGGAGACTTGGGAAGGAACACCTGTGCTGTTCGTGGAGGGTGCTTTATTTTGGTAAAATCAATGTCATGGACAACCTCACTGTTTGATCAGAAAGTTCTCTGTCTGCTAAGCAGGGGCTCTAAAGCCCTGGTGGGTTCTGCACTCCCTTCTTAAACCCACCTGGCTGGGCCTTCTCTCTGCCTCCACCTCCAGCCCTGGAAAGAACCCACAGAGCCATCTCAGTGTTGCCTGGGCCTATAGTCCTGCACTGTCCCTGTCACCACATCCCTGGCCATGTTGCCTGTCCCTTGACAGAGCCAGACAGGCGGTGGTAAGACCAGCTTCAGTTCTATGAAGCCTGAAACTCGGGGGGCAGAGGATCCGCTGGACCCGCTCCAGTCAGTGACTACGGCTGGACAAAGAACCAGGAAGGACCCTCCTTGTCGCCGGGGCCATCCAACGCTCAGTTGGGAAGCTCTGAAAGGGTCATTCTGCCCCCAAGGGCACCCGAGGCCATCCCATGAGGCTATCACAACCCATCTGACCATGGTGAAGCCCAGGCAGACACCAGGCTAGGGAAAGGAGAAGAGATCAAGAAAGGAACCTATACCCATCTTCATTCTGGGGACCCACAGAGAGAAAGGTGGGACATACCCTTCACCGAGGCCAAAGCTGTTGGGAGAGCCATTGTAGCTTGGGGACGGGGCGCTGTTCACCTGGTAAGCCACATCAGGCCACGGAGAGCACTGTGGGAGGAGAGACAGGGCCAGGTGAATGGAGGTCAGCAGTCCTCAGGATGAGCTGGAAGCTGCAGAGGCACCAGCCCATGCTCCTCAGGCCCTTCCAAGCACCCCATCAACACCAACACATGAGACACTGACCCATTAACACACACCCCGTGTTTTCTGGGTACCCATAATGGGCCATGGTCAAGCAGGTTACTGTGGCCATACTGGGGATACCAAACATGGCAAGCAGACCTAACAGTCCGGAAGTCATCCTCAGAGCAAGAAAACTATGAAAGGTATCTCATCAAGCTTCCTAGTAATCAAACCACCAGAGGTAAACATCACAGTGATCAATTTTTTTCTTTTTTGGTGGGTGGGTGGGTACCAGGGATTGAACCCAGGGGCACTTAACCACTGAGCCACATCCCCAGCCCTTATTTTATTTTATTTAGAGACAGGGTCTCGTTAAGTTGCTTAGGACCTCGCTAAGTTGCTGAAGCTGGCTTTGAACTCGTGATCCTCCTGCCTCAGCCTCCCTAGCCTCTGGGATCAGTCATGTGATCTTGAGCCAACAAGGAAGGAGGAAAATCAGAAACACTTTTTTCCTAGTACAGATACGTGTGCGAATGCATATAAGAAGCTAAGGCAACTTCCAAAGGAAAAATAAACAATTAAATTCAGTCCTGAAATCCATGCTGTTTGAAGTAAGAAATCCTGCCGAGAGGCCGAGGCAGGCAGAAGAGGCACTTGCACAATCTATGAAGGCCAGCTCCCCATAACGCAGCTCCATGTGTGTTTATTGTGTTTTAGGCATCCTGCTAGAGGCTCTGGGAGACACAGAAACACAAAAGATCTGATCCTTGCCCTCAAGAAACCTGAACTGCAGAAGCCAAAACCAAACACACACGGAAGCCTCCTAAAAGAAAGTCTCTAGGCTTTGCCTGTCCAACTGAGAGGACAAAGTGTGTGTTTCCTCCTTTGGTGGCAGTGACTTCACCTTGGAGAGGGCTGGTTTGAAGCATTCCTGAAGATTTACTATCACCCACCCAATCCAAGGGTTGGTAAATATTTAACTGTTGTGCGTATGGGCTGGAATTTGTTGGTGCTAAATCCTGCGGCCTGAGAAGGAAAGTCGATGAGCTGATACAAGGGGTGCTGGCACCTCCCAAGGTCATGGCCCACTGAGTGGGCTCTCCAGCACTGCGGAGGGGGCACTGGAGATGCAGCAGGAGGCTCACCAGCACCTCACCTCTGCTGGGACGCCAGGAGAGGAGCAAAGAAGTCAGGCAGAGAGAAGCATCACTAGGTGGGGGGACACTCCCAGCAGTGTCACTAGCACAGAAAGCCACCAGGCATGGGAAGAAAAGGGTCCAAGTCCTAAAGCCAGAAAATGGAGTCCTCAGGTCCCGACATTTCTTTGCTGGCTGAGGGTGGGACCGTGTGGTCTTGGTGGCAATGCTCCCCAGCTGAGGGTTGTCCTTAATCAGACGAAATGACAGTACCCAATGACAGTACCCGGGTGTGTGAGCCGCATGCAGTTTTTTTGGGGGGGTGATACCCAAGATTGACCCAAGGGCACTCTCTGCCACTGAGTTACATCCCTACTCCCTTTTATTTTTATTTTTTTAATTTTGGGACCAGGGATTAAACTCAGGGGTACTTAACCACTGGGCCACATCCCCAGCCCATTTTAATTTTTTACTTTGAGACAGGGTCTTGCCATCAATTGCCATGGCTGGCCTAAAACTTGCAGTCCTCCTAACTCAGCCTCCCAAGTTGCTGAGATTACTATGGGTGTGCATCACCTAACACTACATTAGCTTTCACACTGTCTTATTGCAAACACTCTTCTACATGTGGCGTATTATACACATAGGAATGTAAAAACAGCAGGAACCGGCACCCTTTTCTTAAACATTCTGTGCCCAAACCCCACCCTCACACAGCCTCAAACCCAGTTAGTTGGTCTGACTGTAGAATGGTTGTTTAATAATAAAATAACAAAGGGCTGGGGCTGTAGCTCAGTGGTAGAACACTTGCCCCGCATGCACAAGGCCCTGACCCATCCCGACCCCCCCCCCACAGAAGCCAGTGCTAAGCAATCTGACCCCACTGAGAATGGAACCCTGCAGACATTGTTCCCACATGCAAACCTGCACCTGCCAGGTACCAGCTGCACCCCCATCTGAATGACAGAATCCGGAAAGAACCATCTCTGCACCAACAAACCATCACATGTATATGACACATGGCCAGGTAAGGAACTTCGAAAGAATAGGATCAGATGTCAAATACGCTGTTAAATAAAAAAAAAAAAAAGCATGGTGCAGAATAGAGTGTCACACTCTGTTGGTGTGCAGACGCAGGAGTGGGGCCAAGGTGTGTGCACACTGGCCTACCTACAGAGAAGGTCAGGTCAATACATCTGGGACCAGACATACCAGCTGCCCTAGGCTGAGAAGCTGAGAGGCCAGGGCAGCCACAGGAGGGCTTTTTTTGGGTTGAAAACTTTTGGATTTTGAGCTGTGTAATAAAGCACATCTTCAAAATAACAAAAACGTCCCCCACTACTGCAAATGCATTCCAAGGCAGCAGAGAGCTCACAGTGGTTTCTGGAATGTATCCCCAACCTCTGGGTCTTATCAGATGAACACGAGTCCCACAGGGCACACGCCACAACTGAACGGGCTCCAGTGAAGCTCTCACCCAGGTGGGAAATCTTCCAAGACTGAACCACAGCCATGTTCCTGGCAGAGGGCCCTGGAAAAGTCTGTGCCCGGCCTGGGGCTCACCTCTGTGAGAATGGTGGTTTCGTAGGACGGCTGGTACTTCTCCTTCTCCTGAGCTGTTCTTTTCTCCATCTTCTCCCGGTCGGTCTTCTGTTTCCGATCAGCTCCTTTGGGCTACAAGTAGACAAAGCACAGGGCCCAATTATTCCAAAAAAGGCTAAGGAGAAAGACTCTAGTCCTACCCGCTCCCTGCCTTGCCCCAGGGCCACACGGTGCGGGCAGGATCTCCTGAACAGGACAGCAATTCTCTGACCTCCCTGTGCTCCGACACATGGGATCTTGGGCCTGCCACCCGGCAAATCCCAGGGAAGTGCTTAGAAAAAAAATTGTTACTGATGCCCAGTGGTTTATGGAAAGGAATCCTGGGGAGCCAGGACATATAGCAATGCGTCCCCAGGGATGTCCAGAGGTAGACGGACACTGCGTGCCTGCTGGTCTCCAACTCTGAGCACTTCTGCCAAGACCTCAGCTCGCAGGATATTGTCACAGGGTCCACACTGCACAGTACCACCTCTGTCCCGACAAGGCTAAGTTACAGCAGGAGAGGCTGCCGATCCTGGGTGCACAGCAAACCTGAGCCACTTACAAAAGCTGGCCAGGCCTCAGAGATACCATCCTTCCTGTCTTTAGGGATCAGGAGGCTGGATGAGGGCTGAGTGGCTCCTCAGAGCTGGAGACTTAGCAGGTGTAGGCTCAGGGTCCACCTGAGTACCCAGGTGAGCAGCCCCAGCCCGCGGCCCTCCTTGGCCTCACTGTCTGCTCTGCCGTGTTTCCCTGACAAGCTCCCACTCTTGTCAATGAACAGGAGAAAGATGACAGCTGCACAACTGAGCAGTTTTGCTAAGTACCCGTGGTGGCAAAAAGTCCAGGTTGGATGGCACCTTTGGAGATTTTTTTTCCAGTGCTTTCCTCCAGCGACAGTTTTTGGGTTCCCAGTCAAGGGGTTTTAGGGAAGCATTCTTCAGGGTGATGGATGCTGAGGCAGGACAGGCCTTCAGGGCCAGATGGGGACATGGAGGACAGATCAAGCACTCAGTGAGTGACAGGTGTGTGGCAGCCCTATCTAGCCATCCCTCTCCACCCCCAAGACCCTGTCCCTCAAGGAGACCTCTCCATTGTGCCCAGAAACCACAGGTAAGGGATTACAGCTAGATCACGGCCAAGCATGAACGTTTGGGGGCCACAGCACCAGCCTCGTGAGGCCTTCACAAGCTCGTGGATCAGAGCAGGACTGGCCCTTTCTTCCATCACCCCAAGACCCCATAAAGGCACAGAGAGCAACTCCAACCCTTCAGGTGGACAGGGTCAGAGGGATGGTGGGCAGTTCAGCCTAGCTTCTGCACTCCTCTGTGAACACTGTGAATGAGAGCAGGTGGATGTCTGTAGCTCCCCAGAGCTGCTCCTCCTGTTGGGGACTGCTAAGGCCTCCTTTAGGAGACTTGGATATGGACGCTTCCAGCCCAGTTCCCCAAGCAGCACCTGGTGAGTGGTCCAGGAGCTTAGGGGAAAGACCCCTCGAGCCTGAGGTCCAGGTGTCCAGTTGGAGAGAGTGGGTGGTGCAGGGAGAGGGCAGAGACCCAGCCCTTGTCCCCTGCCCCAAGCTCACCCAGCACAGTGACTCATCCCCAGGGCACACACAGTGAACACAGCAGAATTAAAGGGAGGTGCTAGATGAGTGGTGAGCTTCCACCTGTGATAGAGGAACCCAGCTTGATGGTAGGGAAGAGGGGTCACCATAAAAAGGAACCGCAGGCCAGGTAAAGACCACCAGCCACACAGCCACAGAGAGAGATGTCCAGGGAGGAAGAGAATGACCAGATCCCAGAATGGGCAGAAGGCCCCGAAGCTGCAGTGCCCAGTGGATGGGTGTGTGCAGCCTGCAGCGTCGTGGTCCCCAAAGGTGAACATGCTCCAACCCCCTGGACGTGGGGACATTAATTTATGTGGCAAAGGCGGGGGCGTATGTTTGCAGACGGTATTGAGATGGTTAGTCAACTGACAGACAGAAGATGATCCTGAGTATTTAATATCTATTTTTAGTTGTAGTTGGACACAATACCTTTTTATTTATTTATTTTATGTGGTGCTGAGGATTGAACCCAGGGCCTCACACGTGTTAGGTGAGTGCTCTACTGCTGAGCCACAACCTCAGCCCCCCACCCCATCCTGAATACCTTAAAAATGGAGGGAGGGAGCAAAGGACATTGGGATGATACTCTACGACAAGGACAAGGGATGGCTCCTAACAACTCTGAGGGTGGAGCCAGGGCCCCAGGCTAAGGAATGGAGAGGCCCCTAGAGGCCTCCAGGAAGGAGTTGCAGGCCCGCTGACACCATGGGCTCAGTGTCACCCATGTCAGCCTCCTGTGCTGCCAGCACACTGTCAGATAGTCAATGCATATAAGTTTTTCTTGTTTGTTGGAGACAGGGTCTCACTGTGTTGCCTAGGCCAATCTCTCTCAAACCCCTGGGGCTCACGTAATGAATGTGATTTACTTTCAGCCACTAAATAAATCTGTGGTAATTAGCAACAGGGATCCTCCCACCTTCCTGGGAAGCCCTCTTTCCAAGGCTTCCCGGTCCTCAGCAGGTTTCTGAAGGGTGCTGGTCCTCCAGCAGGAGAGACAAATGCCATCCTCCCTGCCCGAGGTGAGGTCAATGACAAGGTATCCAGATTGATCCAGAGGCTGCCCAGGGCCACAAGTCCTCTCTCTGCCCACAGTCCTCAGGAGCCAGACCTGTCGCTGCAGGGTCCCCTGAGGGCAGACAGCATGGCCTCTTCCATAAGTTTCTGGGACTGGTGTGTTCCACGAGTCCCTGCCAAGGGCTTAGTCAGTACCAGATTCTTGGGAAGATGCTACACAGGATGACACACAGCCCTGGCTTCAGGGGCCACCAGGTACTTGGAAACAGCCTCAACAGACCTGTCTTTCTCTCTAATGAGTCCCTGATTCTTGGATTTTTCAACTCCAGGAAATGGAATTTTTTCAGCAGGTTCCAGTTTCACCTGGATGTGAAGAGGGGCCTATGGGGCCTGCATGCGGGCAGGTGACTCAAGGCAATTCCTCCCCACAAGGTAGCTCCACCCTCTCTCTATAGGGCCCTGCTGGAGTCACCAGGGCCAAACAGGCAGATTAGATGTGCAGGGGACAGGGCTGCAGGCCTGCATGGACAAGGGCCATCCTCATGCCTAGATAATGACACAGGCCTTACAGCATCCCTCACCTCCCTGAGGGCATGTGGGACAAGCAGCTGGAATGCTGGCTCCCATGGCCAGGAAATAATCAGTGCAGACTTTAGATGAGAAACAGTGACAGGTGAGTGCACGGGATGAAGCAAGAAGGGGAGAGATAGGAAATAGCCTCTGAAAATGTTTTTCTAAGACATACCTTTTTTTTTCCCCCTCCAGGGCTGGGGATGGAACCCAGGACCATTTAACTACTGTGCCACATCCCCAGTCCTACACCACCACCCCCACCCTCTTCTTCTTCTTTTTTTTTTGAGAAAGGGCCTTACTAAGTTGCTGAGGCTGGTTTAAACTTGTGATCCTCCTGCCTCATCCTACCAAGCCACTAGGATTACAGGCGTGCACCACCAAGCATGGCTCCAGTCCTCTTTTTCTAAGGGAAAGCCACTGCAGAGGGAAAAATGGCCAGGCCCCCAAGAAAGGAGCTGCCTGCCTTCATGGGCAACTACAAAGTGCTTGAGAGGAAATATGCAAATCCAATTCATCTTATAGTCAAGTATGGACATCCAGAGATCCCAAAGCTTCTGAAGAAAGCTGAGCAGGTGCCACAGGTGAGAAGAGGTCCCTGCAGAAAAGGGACAGGGGCAGACCCATGGCCCAAACAGACGTGCCGTGTGCATGCCCACTCAGGGTCCAGGTAGAAGCCCTGGGGCACCCGCTCCCTCCACTCGTGGCCGGGCCTGAGAGCACGCGGGTCGACCTTGTGGTGTTGCTGCAGGCAGACGTGACCCATGGCCAGGTAAAGACGGTGAGGCGGTCCTACCTTGAACACTTTGATCTGGCAGCTGGCCGAGTGTAAGTGCTCCGAGTACTCTCCATTCTCACTCTGCTTAAATGTGTCGATCTGCACCCGGAAAGGCACACCCTTCTCACCCCCATGCTTCCTCTGGGTGAATTCTGTGCTGATACAATGTACCTGGGAGGGGAAGGCCAGGCAGGGAGTCAGGTGGGGGCGCAGACTCCCGGGGGTCTCTCCCTCAGGGAGGTTTCCATCCCTGCCTCCGAGAGCACGCCTGCCTCGACCTTCTGGCTTTCCCAACTCCACGTCCACCCCATCAGGCCAACAGCTCCCCCATTTTCTACCTGCAGGATAGGCCCTCCCCCACCTCTGTCCCTGGACCTCAGGGGCCCTCGTGATCAACTAAATGCTTGTCACTACTCCAAGCCACTGACCTCAATGGATCCACCCTCTCTCTTCACCCAAGGACCCTCCCTTGGCAAACCCTAGGATCTCAGGACAGATCCAGCACAGCCTTCTCTGACCCCTCTCTAACATCCTGGTGCCCGGGACCAGGCTCAAAGCATAACCAGGACTGTATTTCCAGTAAGTATCTGCTGCATAGAGAGCACTAGATACATATTTATGGTTAGAATGCTGTCGTAATGTTATGATAGTACAATGTTATTATAACATCATAATAGTTTTACATACAATAAGATTAATGTAATTATAAAAAAAGAAATGATCCCCTAGCTCTTCTTGAGTGAATCCCATGGAACAGACGTTGAGTCAATGGCTTTCTGATGTATAAAATGGGTGGGGGAAACGAAAAGGTTCAAAACTTGCTCAGAAATCCCAGAAGAGAGTAAGTGAGAGCCCAAGGGAGCCCAGAACTCTACCACAAGGCACCGGCCACACCCTCCCCCGCTGCCCTCAGGTCCTGTACAATACAATGTGGGACCCACACCAGGAGCAGATAATGAACTAACTCATTCAATAGCAGAAACCCTAGTGGAGAAAATACTTCCAATTATTTATGCTAGGAGATACTGGTTTTGAAAAAGCTCTTACAGTCATTCCATAAGCAGACCCCAAATAGAATTCTAGAACATTCCAAGTCCTGTCCCCAGCTACTTCTGGGACTCCGAGCAGCACTTTTGATTCTTCTCTCCTCAGTTCCCTTCAACAGAAAACCCTTCCAGATAGGCTGGTTGAGAAACTACAAGCTGGACCCCAAAGCTCTCCCACTCACCTGAATGAATGCAGAGGCTCTCTTGGCAGGGTCCCACAAAAACTCAACTGCATTCAGCTGGGTTGGGCTGGCCCTGGGGTCCAAGATACCAACAGACAGTGGAATATCTGCACACACACACACACATACACAAAAGTGCAACTGTCAGCCTCTCTTGAATGTTGGGGGAAAGATACTTTATCACAGTCTCAAATTCCTGCACCACAATTTGAAATGCCAAAAGTTCTGGAAGCCAGGTTTTGAATAACTCCTCCGAGGCACAGCCAGACCTGAATCAGCACAGAGCTCCTAGGAGTCTTTATCCTATTTTGTGTGAGTTGTCATTTTATTTTGCCATAAAAATATTGTGCTTGATCGCTTGATGGAAGCGTTCCCTAATGCTACAGATATACTACAGCCAACCATCACTCCAGCTTCTGAATTCCAAAAACCATCTGGCCTCCAGGAGGTAAAGGACTGGGATCCGTACCTGAGCCCCCCAAATTCCATTTCAATTGTCCATCTATCTCTACAGTGCTCACTCTTCTCCTTGATACTTATTCAAACTCCTTTATAGTTTTTGTATACAATAAAACTATCCTAATATAACTATTCTAATAGTTTCATATACAATAAGGTTAATGGAATTATAAAGAAGAAATGATCTCCTAACTTTTCTTGAGTGATTCCCACGAAACAGGCATTGGGAAAAATGGAAAAAATGGCCAGGCCTCTAAGAAGGGGGTTCCCTATCTTTCTGCAAAGCTTCATTGAAACTCCCCTACAGGAAGTCTTGAATTCCACAGGACTTAATAAATAAGGGACTGCCCTAAGGGCAGGAACCAATGGTGGGGTTACCTCTGCAATCTCCCACAGGGCAGGGCTACACCAAAACACCCTGCAGGCAGGGTCCAGATGGCGTCCACAAAGAAGCCCAATGTGGCCTGAGTGCCTGAGGCTGGGACTGGCTGGGGAGACTCACCAATGTCCAGGATGCGGTCCCCAGGCCGGCTCCACCGCCAGCCTTCCAGCTGCTGGTGCTCCGTGTACTGTAGCCGGCGGTCATGGAAAACCACGCGGATGATGCTCTAGGGGAGGCAGATGGGGAACAGCTGGATGGGGAGGCCAAGGGGAACCCAAGAGAAGCCCACATCTCCACCTTTCAAGGCCTCTCCTCTTGGGGTTTCCTTTCCCGATTCTCAGGTTCCACATACTATCCCCTCCTCTGATCCCCAATAATACTGACAATGATAAAGAAAATAATGACTATCTTTTTTTTTCAGGATAATAAACTGTTTTACATACACGTCTAATTTATAAACCCTTTCATGCAGGTGGGCAAACAAGCTCAGAATGATTTAATAAGTGGCAAAGCCGGGTTTGAATCCGATGTTTGACCCAGAGCCTGCTACATCAGCTACATCAGCCCAAGCCCCTCTGCCTCCTGCCGCCCTCCCCCCTCCCATGCTGCTGGCCTGGCTTTTCTATTCCCACTGGGACAATATGCTCCGGGAATGGAATGGAGGCTGCAGCTCACCAATGGGGCCCAAGTAGAAACCCACCTCTCCCTCCCGCTTTCCCTCCCTGCAAGCCCATGTGCTCAGACCCCAACCAACCCCTCCCCTGGAATGCAAGAGCCCCCAGAAGCTTACCTTGACATATTTAGTGTTCAGATCCTGAAAGTCTCCCAGCTTCCGGTTCTCCAGCAGCCGGATTTCATAAGACTGACCTGGAAGGGGGGATTAAGGTACATTTTCCATTTCTGAGTTGTTTCCAAATTAGGGGTTCACCCACCTAATGGCCCTCAGTGCTCACCCAGGCCTCAAGGGACTGAGGAGTTAAATAGAAAAAAAGTGCATGGCCATCTCAGCTCACTCTCTGGATTAATGACCCAGCCTGTCTGTCCAGCGTGGTTGGGCCTGGGACACTCCAAGAAATGTACCATGGGACCCTACAGGGACAGTACTCTGCAACTGCCCACAAAACAGAACCCAGGCAAATATAGTTAGCATGAAAATTACAAAGTATACCAGGCAGTGACGCAAGCCTGACATCCCAGCGACTAGGGAGGCTGAGGCAGGAGGGTCACTTAGCAAGACCCTGTCTCAAAATTAAAAATGAAATAAAAAGGACTGAGAATGTAGCTCCGTGGTTCAAACCCCAGTAACAAAGTAATAAAAATGAAAATTCCAGAACTTAACCATCTGTCCTCCACCCCCCCCCCCCCCGCAACACACACACACACACCCCTGGATGAAAACAAACCACAGCTACCTAAATCCACACTACTGAGTAAATAACTGACCACGCCATTCCTGAGCACAGGTTTAAAGGAACGACAAAGCCTGTTAAACATTTTCTCTAATGGTAGAATGAAAAGCATTTTCCAGAGTTCAAGGAATTTCATGTATTTGAAGGGTGTGGGGATCCTAGGCAGTATGACATAAAACCAGCACAAGCTGGTGAAAGAGTGCAAGTGGAAAAAACAGCCATCCTAATAACAACAAAGCTCAACAGATCTGCAAACAGCCTGAAGACCACCCCACACATCATTGAAAAAAACCCAGCTTGCATACATAGGATACAGTGCGTCCCTGTATCAGATGATGTCAATTTTCCCAAGTTAAATGTTAAACTACAATTCAGAAACACCTTAGCACTCATCACAACTTAATAAGATATACAAAAATAAATTATTTAACCATTGGGATTGGAATTTTTTTTTTTTTGAGTGTTGGTCCAATCTACAGCTACACCCATGCCAGGTAAGGACTCTACCAATGACCTGCACCACCCTCCCCAGCCCCTTTTTATTTCTAATATAATTATGGACTCATAAGAAGACATCCCTCAGTGGTGGCATCTAGTATAACTAAGGTACATTATCCAAACCAGGAAACTGACACTTGCACAATATAATTCCCCAAATTATAGACCTTGCCTGGATTTCCGTGGGATTTCTCTCTCATGTATGTGGATGTTAAAGATTTGTGACGTTTTATGCCAAGTAGAAACTAGCTATTTTTCTCAAAGTGCAGATCTTCCCCTCGCAACAAATACCCAAATAAGTTACCACGGAAATAAAAACTCCCATTTCTTTAGTTTGCTTTTCTTCTCTCTTTCTCAACCCAGGGGTGATCTCCCCCTGAGCTACACCCCCAGTCTATTATTTTTTATTTTGAGATTTTATTTGTGGAGGCTGGCCTAAAACTTGTGATCCTCCTGTCTCAATCTCCCAAGTCACTGGGATTATAGGCAGGCACCACCATGACCAAGTCAAGTCAGCTTCTTAAGGGAGAAAGGGAGGCTAATGGTTAAAGTATATAAATTTGGGAATGCAAACAACAAACTAGGAACAGCAAACCCAGGAGCTAACAGCTATTAAACATCTAAACAAAACAAAGCAAAAGCAAAGAAAAAAATTGATTAGAAAAATGCAAGAACTGGGGATGTAGTTCCGTAGTCGAGTGTTTGCCTAGAATACAGCAGGCATGCAGTTTGATCCTCACTACCATGAAAAGAGAGAGAGAGAGAGAGAGAGAGACAGACAGAGAGAGAGAAGAAATAGAGAGAGAGAGAGAGAGAGATGTATTAAGACTCCACACATGCTTCCAGTGGGTTGCATGGTGGTCCCCAACAAGCTATGTCATGTCCTACTACTCATGGAAAAGTGACCTTATATTTGGAAAACGACTTGGCAGATATAATTAAGGATTCTGGGATGAGATAATCCCGGATTATCCCGGTGAGCCCTAAATCCAACGACAAGTGTCTTTATGAGGGACACAGGAGGCGGCAGCCGTGTGACCTCAGAAGCACTGACTGGAGTGATGTGGCCACAAGTCCAGGAAAACCTGGACCCACATGACAAGCAGGAACCACCTGTTCTAGACCCTCCAGGAGCAGGTACCTGCGGATTTCCCACCTCCAATCTCCAAAACTACTGGAGAATATCCCCCAGCGATGTAAGTCAACACAGGTACTTTCTTTTGTGACAGCCTCTCTCAAAGTAGCTGGGGAAAGGACTTGGAATGTTCTAGAATTCTATTTGGGTCTGCTTATGGAATGAATATAAGAGCTTTTTCAAAACCATTGAGAGAGGCTTCGCAAAACCCAAAGTCATTCCTTCCCTTCCTCAGTGAACAACAGAATGGCAAAAAGAACAGAAAATTAAATCATTCATTCCAAATATCTGCTGAGCAACAATGACAAGCCAAGTACCCCGTGAATCCCAGGGACATGGAGGGGACCAGAGTGACCCAGGTGTGCATCATGGGGCTTCTGCACCTTGCCTCCACTGGACCTGGTGAGGTCTCGTGGCGGAGGCTGCCTGGCCTCCAAAAATAGCCCTTGTCAGTGTCACCTTATGACATGACCAGCCAGCACATCTGGGCACACGCCAAGCCCCAGCCCTGCTTAGGGGGCTGGGCTGGGTGCCTTCCACATCCCAGGCAACAGGAGCGAACCCCAGCCTCTGTCCTGCCCTCCTGCCTGCTCAGAAGACACTTGGGTCTGGCTAACTTTTTGGAAAAGGCAAATTTTTAAGATACATTTCCGGGCTCCTGAACCAGGAGTCCAACACTCCCTTTGGACATAAAAAAGAACATTACACACCCTAACTGGTTTTTCCAGTGTCCTCCGCCTTTCCTGATGAAGAATGTAGATGGCGCTGGCATGAGGCCCAAGGCCCAAGTGGTCATTAGGTGAGTTTACAGGTGCCCCAGGGGGCCAATTTGCACTGACGCTGGGCTCCCCAGGGCAATCTCAACTTAGGCAAGCAGGAGGCACCTCCTGTTTCAGGGAGAGTAGTTTCCAAGTCTGCACTAAGGGACAGCAACTCACAGTAACAGCCACCGGTCACAGCCACAGTGTGGGGCTTTAGACCAGGACCCCAGCCAAGCTTGCTCTCTCCATATCAGCAGCCTGATGTGGATGCTTCTCCCTCCTATCTCCCCTCCTCACCCTGTCATCTCACACAGGTACCCTCAAGGACCCCTCCCTAGCCACACTGCTCCTCCCGGCCTTGCTGGGCCTAAAGCTGGACATCCAGCCGCCCTGTCTGTGAATGTCACCAGGACAACACACGGGGAGCAGACACTTTCCCAACCGCTCCTGCAGCTCAGCACCACACCATCGAACAGTCACAGACTTCTGAAGAAGGAGGACAGGTGGGCCTCGTTGAGCTAGGGCACAGGGCACTTCCCTGCTTGGCCAGCGTCATTTCTGGGCATGAGTGGGAGCCATGCAGTGGGCTCTGGCAGGACCCAGGGTGCAGCTATTTGGCTCCCCGCTGAGCTATCTGGGCAATAGAATAGCAAGTGCTCAAGACATGCTTTGATATTCTTTGTAGCGCTCTTCTAGGCTAGAATGGCAGAGAGTTTGCAAAGACACACTCTTGTCCTCAAAGGGTGAAAATCTTTAGGGTGCAGCAAATTAGCCAGGAAAAGGCTAGTAGAAGGCAGAATTTGGAGATTTTTCCAAGAGACAAAAGAGCACCAACTGTAAGCAACACTTATCCAGACTGGAGAGGGGGAGCGCAAGACGAGGCTTAAGGGGAAGACTGTATGACTGTATGGGCAGGGAAGAGTGGGTGGGGTTTCTACATGTAAGAGAAAGAATAATGACAAAAAAAAAAATCCCAAGAAAGAAAGGTTCAACAAGGTGGGGAAGTGGGGAGGTGAGCATCTGAGAGTCAGCTAATAGGTTCAGTCACTGGGTGCAAAAGGCGGCATTCTACTGGGTCTACCAAATCTCCCCAAAGTCAATAACAGAAGTTAAGATTATGATCCCCATTGGCCTGGAGGAAGCAGAGGCCCAGAGGTTACCCAAATCAGGCAAGCTCACACAGCTAGCAAGCCGCAGAGCCAGCAGCAGAATCTGCTTCCAGCACCTACCACACTCTGCCAAAACTTCCCTTGGTGGATGTCCTTTCCTGGGCCCAGAACATTCCCAATTGTGCAAGGTTCTCTTTCAACTTCTCCCTTCTGGAAAGCACCTGCTTCTATTATGCACACCGATTAAGCCTTAACACTGTTTGTTTGTTTGTTTGTTTCGTACAGTTTTAAACAATGATTTGAGAGGGGAAATAAATCACTGCAGGAAATGAGAGTTCTAATTCACGTTTGAATTGCAGAATTGTGACCTGTAAAATCAACAAAGATTGGTCTTAGAATTGAACCAACAGAGCAGGGCATGGGGCATGGTGGTGCACGCCTATAATCCCAGCAACTCACTGAGGCAGGAGGATCTCAAGTTCAAGGCCAGCCTACATGTAACTCAACAGGCCCATTCCTGGGTTCAATCCACAGGACCGAAAAAAAAGAAAGAAAGAAAAAGGAAAAAAATTTTGAAAGAATCAAAACTGTATAGAGGCTTCAAAGGTCCCTTCTGGCTCTAAAATTCACGGAGTCTATTCATTGTGTTTCGCCTGAATTTCTTGATATTCATTTATCCTGACACTCTACCACACATGGAACCTTCCCCCCTTACCTCTGAGACTCAAGCCCTAATACAGGTGACCTTGTTTCTCTGAGAGGAACTTTAGAAGCCTCACTGATATGTAACCACGTTGTGCCACGCATTTCCTCATGCTCATTATAATACTCTCCACATTCTCTAAAGCCTGGTCTTCTGACACAAAGACAGACCCTTGGAAAACAATAGGGGGCCCACATTAGACTTAACACATATGGAAACTTGACTTATGTCAGTGAGAAAAAAGATGAGCCC